ACACACACACACACACACACACACACACACACACACTCACTCACTCACTCACTCACTCACTCACTCACTCACTCACTCATGTGTGCACGCTGCCAGACCATTTGATCTTGCAAGCATCTCTCATACTCTCATTCTCTCCCTCCTTCCCCTGTCTCTTCCTCCTCTCCTTGTTTTATCCTTTCTTCCCTGATCTCTCCCTGGCCCACCCAAACCCTTTCTCACACACCCCTCTCTCCTGCAGGTGAAATCACCACCACCTCTCTGCTTGACCGTGAGACCAAGTCCGAATACATCCTCATCGTACGAGCAGTAGACGGGGGTGTGGGCCACAACCAGAAAACTGGCATTGCCACTGTGAGTGCCCACCCCTCGCATGCCCCCCAGCTCCCCACTTGCTGTCCAGGCTGCTATTCTTCAGCTCATCTTAGGTCTGGGCACTTTGTCCTGGGAGAGCGTGAGGCTTTGTGGGAGTGGAGTGAGGGTGGCAACTCAGAGTCAGCCAAGGTCAGGACTAGAGCCACTGCAGCTACGGGAAGAAAGGCATTCCCACCTGAAGCATGAGCACCTGGGAGGAGCAAATATTTTCTCCTCTTCCCCCAAAAGACCAGCGGGGCAGATAAGAGAAGGCATGCAGAAGAGTGACTCAGAGCAGGAAGCAAGGCCCTTGGAGGATCCCTGGGGGCTTGTCATCACCCCACCCCTAACCCTCATGGTGCTGAGAAATGGTGCCTGAGTTTCCCTTCCATGCTCAAGTAGGACCCATCAAGGCCTAGGGTCCCTATTCAAGGCCATGTCACCCCACCAAGGTGCTTCAGAGGGTAGGAAGCTAAAGAAAGAATGCTTGAGGGTCCTGACTGAGTTCTTGGCTGCAGAACAGGATGGGGGAAGTAAGGAGCAATAAGCCCCTCCATGGGAGAGGAAGCAGGAAGGCCGGCTGACAGGTCACTCCAGCCATCTCCCCTCCTTGATCTTCACTCATTTTCTTTGGCTCTCCCTTGGGACCCCTCTCCTGACTTCTCCGCATTGCTCTCACCCTACCCAAAGCAGCTTTCCCCAGGCTTGCCCAGCCAGAGGGGCTGGAATTGGTATTGCTTGGCCAGGGACTTGGCAGAAAAATCCCCAGAGCTCTATTCAATCACAGAAGGCCCCTGCTAACAGGAGTCAGAGCTCTATAAATAATTTACCTGGTGACAGGTGAGCAAGGAAATTGCTCGCCTTATAGCTGAGACTGACCAGAAAGCTCAAGGGATTCTATCAGACCTGCCCACACCCTAAACCTCCACTACCCTGTCGTTCACCTTCAGCCCAGACTAGGAGTAGATGGGACAAGTCCCAGGTCACAGAGCCCATCTCATCTGTTCCTCTGCCACCTGATGAGACAGCACCTAAACCCTCTGTCCTTAAAAGCCCAGGCTCTGCCCTGAAGCCCCTAAAGTGGATGGAGCCAGTGGAATTAATACCAAGATACCCCATAGGTCTCTGAACGAGTCCCCTCATGGGCAGCTAGGCATAATCCACAGTGCCTCTTATGGCTTCACAGGTCAACATCACCCTCCTGGACATCAATGACAATCACCCCACCTGGAAAGACGCTCCCTACTACATCAACCTGGTGGAGATGACCCCTCCAGACTCTGATGTGACCACGGTAAGTGATGGCAGGACAGCAGAACTACCAGGCTGCCCTTCTGAGGAGTGTCTGCCATCCCCTATGGGCCTCTGCTCATATGAGGCTAATGCATGTAGTGTTTCCTGAGCCAGCTCTTTGAGCAGAGGTCCGGAAGCTCTTGCACGGTGAAAGGTAGTCAGAGGTTGTTCTTATGGACAGTGGGCTTCAGGCTTCATCAAAGGGAGCACAGGATGCCCAGGTACAGTACCAGGGGATGCCAGGATAGTGCAACTTGTAGCCACTTACCCTGAGACCCAGGACTCTGGTCACCCCCTCATGAGAGCCCCACCCTCCCCTGGCAAGGCACATGTCTCTCCCTCAAATTGCAGGAGCTTCTTCTTTGCCTTCAGCACCTTTCCTTCACTTCTGTCACTGCAGCCACTGGGCTGGGTCAGCTAGACCCAGGGCTACCCCAGCAGGGGGTCTGAAGTTCACCCAAGGGTTTTCTGGCACGGGATATCTGTTTGCACAGACACCTGTGTGTGCTGCATGTGTGTACATCCAAGTGCTGTGTGCAGGGATGTGACTCGGGGTGGGCAGAGGGAGATGTGGCCAAAGCCTTGAGGCACACAGAATGGAGACCAGCATCCTGGGGAAACTGAGGAAAGCCAGGGTTATGCACCCTACTGCTCTGCGATTCACATTTGAGAGGCCTCCCCCCAACCCCCTACATACTTGTACCCAATTGGCCTCAATGGGGAGGTTCTACTGTCCCTACTGTCCAGCGCCACAGCCACCCAGCCTGCCTGTGATGGACATGAACCGAACAGTTCGTGACAACCCATTTATTAAATATTTGGGATGTGCCAGGCGCTGTGCTAGGGGCCTCTCGTGAATTCTCTCTCATCCTCATGGTGCTCTCATGTGGCCAATGGACTCATGGCTCCCACCATACTACACAGGACACGGAGACTTAGAGTTCGAGGGGTTTTCCCAAGGACCTAGATCTAGTAAGAGGTAGTGCTAGGACTTGAACTCAACTTCGAAACCACATAACCCAGTCCTTGTCCCCCTGGCAGGTGTCCTGAGAAACTGGACAACGCCAGTGGGATGGGAGAAGGGGTGGTACTTTCATATCCAGCTCTCTGAGAGGCTGCCTCACCATGAGCTCAAGCAGCCGTGGGCTGGTGATGCCTAGCCTACCCTCCCCGAGTTCTCATCAGCCACAGGGAGGAGTGACAAGGCCTGCCTATGTCTAGGTGGGAGAGGATGTCAACCTATGGGGGCGGAGTGGGGACTTGGCCGTCACAGCCGTCCTTCTTTTCCACATGTTCAAGATCTGAATGGTTCTCAACTGGTGGGCAGGTCCCATTCCAGAGAGTCTAGTGGGGCAGAGGCCAAAGGATCTGGAATCTGGTTTTTCAAAGCCCCAGGTGGGAGGATTCTTTCCAACCCAGGGCCAAATTTGGAAACCATGACCCTAAGCCATTCTCCAGGGCTCAGGATCTGCTGGGCGCTCTCTGCCGCCACCTTGTGGGCACCCAGGCTCTAGCCCAAGAGCTGGGGCTGGATGCCCACCTCTGAACACCTGTTCGGTCATCTCTTAACCTTTGATTTGTGTCTCCGAGAAATTTCTCCCAGAGGAAATTGAGAGACAAGTGAGGGAAGTGTCCCCAGGAGAAACTGGCTACATGGGTCACAAGCCAGGGGTGCCATTATTGAAGAGTTCACCTGCCAGAAAAAGCTAGTAGGTTTGCGGGGCTGGGACTGCACTTGCGCTTGGGCATTTCCCCGATCTGGCCCCCAGTGTCCCTCTCTGGGTCTCTAGCCTTTTCTCAGATCCTTCTGAGGCATGAGCAGGTATGGACAATGGGCCAGGGGCCTGCTGCCCAGCACTTCCTTACTCTCCAGGAAACCTCAGTAAACCTTCAGTGAGTACCTACTGTGTGCCGGGTCCCATGCTTAGCAGGCTCAGGAGTACAGGAAGCAACAATGCGTGTGCTCTGCCTCCCGGGAACTTCATGCCATTCTGCTCAAACCCACAATTGGGTCCCATCTCACCCTGTGTAAAAGCCAGAGTCCCTACCAGACATACCTAGCCAAAAAGAGCCACCTTACTTTTACCTCTAGGGAGATGGACGTGGGAGTCCACTCAGTACAAAGTGGACATGGCTGTTCGTCCCCAAGCTCAGGGCAGTCATGGGGTTGGGACACTTGAGCTTTTCAGTGACCCATAGTAGTATTTGAGACATGAAAAAAAAAATGCAATGCCTCGGAAGTTCAAAAACAAAAGGGCAAAGTCAAAATTGAAACTTGTTAAACAGCTAGCAAATTTATAATGACAACTTTAGTAATTAAGAAATTTAGTGTTTGTAAAAATCTCATTACATCTGAGGAAAACTATAGCTTTGATTTTCAAGAATTCTTGAGAATTTTCTAAAATTTTCTGGATTTCCCAGTTATACATGTGATGATTGCTAGGAAACCAGAAGTCAAAGAGCCCATAAATTAATCGAGTTTGTCATAGCAAAATAATTTCAAAAGGAATAGTCATAAAAATTCTTCCAAATTTTATAGCTGTGAAATGTATGTATGCATATATATGCGAGTATGTTTTAATACCTTTGAGGGGGGCCCCCGAGGCCTAAGGCCTCACAATAGCCCTCGGTGAGATAGGGGCTGTGGCAGAGGTGTGAGGAAAGAAGGTCGCAGTGCAGGGAACAGCTCACCCAGAAGTGACATCTGATATTTGAACAGAGGGTGACCCACCTCCTGACTCATCTCACACCCACCCCACCCCTCTCCCCACAACACACACCAGCCTTTCAGTCCTCTGAACTCACTAAACTCCTTCCCACCTCAGAGCCTCTGCGCAAGCTTTCTTCCCGCTGCCCCCCACTCCCCACCCCGAGTGCTCTTCTTCCTCTACCCCCCAGCCCTGCTTTTGCCATGGCTGCCTCATTCTCCGCCATCCCAGCTTAAAATGCCACCTCCAAAGAGAAGCCTAAAGTCGCTCTGCCCCTCTCCATACTCTGTTCCTTTCAGATCTGGTCTCACAACCTGTGTGTGTTTGTTAGGTTCCTTGCTTATTAAGAGGCAATATAGCTTAGTGACCCAGTGGGCAGCCGCTGGTACCAAAACGTCTGCGCTCCAATCCTAGCCATACCACTTACCAGATAGATACATGACCTTGGGCAAGTTACTTAACCTCTCTGTGCTCCAGTCTTCTCATCTAGAAAATAGGGATAGTTAAGAGTCCCCACCTGAAAGGGTTATGGGTCATACTTAGTGAACCAAAATACACAAAGTACCTTACCACATGGTGAGTGGTCAATAAATGATAGCTTTTGTCACCATCAGCTGCCTCCCCTGCCGGAATCATATCTGTCTTGTTTAACGTTGAGCCCCCATGCTTCACACAGTGCCAGGCACATTGTAAGTGTTCAAAACATTTGTGAACGAAAGTTGTTGAAGGACTTGTTTACCCTCCTTCCCCAGCCTACAACCCCTGCTCCCCTCTCCACCGGGTCCGGTTGGGTCTTCCTTGTCAGAGGGAGAGTAGGGCACATGACGGGGGACTCTCCCAAGGGTCCATCTGGAGGGGGCACTGGCCCCAGCCCCTAGGAGTCTGAGGCACAGGGCAATCCCAGTGACATTCAGAGCCTGTGTGTGAGCCTGCTTCCAGGTGCACTCGGAGTTGGCCCAGCACGTGTGTCTGCACACGTGCGCACCTATGGCATCCACTGCATACACATGAGCTTGCAGAGTGACCATTCTCTGCGAGTGAGATTTTGGCCCCACTCTCTCTCCTAGCTCCTGCAGCCTGCTTCAAGGACCTGGCTGATGGGCATTGATTTAGAGCCTTTCAAAGCCCTCCAGCAAAATAAAGGAGAGGGGAGAGGGAGAGAATTAGTCCCCGTCAGGCCAGGAGAAAAATGACGAGCGTGAAATGGGAAATAAATGAGAAAGTGGTAAGAGTCCACACAGTCGCCCAGGAGGAGCCCACGGGGGTCCCAGCCCGCCACCCTCTCTCATGCCCGCACCCCACCTCATAACCAGGGAACGAACCAAGAAGCCAAATACCAGTGCCCACCCCCTGCTAGCATCACTCAGAAGCAGCTACCCCGGTACCCTCAGGTACTCGGGTAGGAGAGGGTAGAGAAGAGGGGAAGCCGCTCCACCCCAAGTGAACTTGGCCTCAGTGCATTCAGCAACAGGCTGCTGGTCTGGAGCAGGTTGTTTAACTGCCCTGTACCTCAGTTTCCCCATTCAGAAAAAGGGGGTAAGAACTACCTCCCTCCTATAACGGAAGAGAGAACTTTGTGGAAATGCAGGGCTTGCTGATCTCCTTTGTCCATTAGCAGGATGACTGTGGCTGGCTAAAATGACACCTGATGTGCCTAAGAGCCCTGTCTCCTGTTGTCAGTACAGGAGTGATTGAGTCCCCATTATAGAGGCTGAAGAAACTGAGGCAGCATGCCCACGGCACAGTGAGGGCTCCTCAGGCCTGGAAGGCTGCCCCTATGCACCCCTCACCCTTGGGTGCAGCAAGGCTGGGAAGGGAGGGGGTGGGCTGAGCAGTCTGGGGTGGGAGTGGAGCTGCATCTCGCTTTCTGAAGCAGGGAGGGCCTGCAGTGGCTCAGGGTTCAGCACCAGCATCAGCCTCTCTCCCTGGCCTCCTGGGTCCCAGGGGCAGATAAAAGTCCTTGGCCAGAGTGGCCCATCTGTCTGTTCTGGTCTGGTGGCCCCAGAGACACCTCAGCTGGGGATTAAGCCAGCGGAGGGACAAATTCTGCTGCCAAAGCACAAAGGCCCCACATCAAGTAAGATAAAGGAGCTGACGAGGCTGGGCTGTCATTGCCAAGTGTCCCAGAGTGAAGAATGACACTGTCCTGATGTGACCCCAGGGACTGCAGTCACCCCCCCCACACACACACACACACGCACACACACACACACACACGCACACACACATTGATCTTGTCTACCTCTGGTGCCACAGTGGCCCCTGCAGGCCCCTGCGTGTCTGGAGACAAGCTGTGGGGTGGGTGTCCCTGCTGTCCTGGGACCCTAGGAGGCCTGCAAGGGATCTGAGTTGACCCCGAGGCTGGTGCTGTGTGACCTTAAGTCTGGCCTGTGACTCTCTGAGTCTTGCTTTCTCCTTGTGGGTGGTAGGTGGCTAGAGAAGTTCCCTACAGAGTGAAGGATGGGCAGGCAGAGAGACCTCAGAGAGAACAGGCTGTGGTGTTTGTGGCCCTGGGTTAGGACTGAGGCGGATCCCTTCATGGGGTGGGGATACAAGTGGGGAACCAAAGGATGGCTGGAAAGTTAAAGGGGCCAGAGTGTCTGGGGCCCCTATCCTGAGACCCACGCCTCCTGGGGATGGCGTTTCTCCCCTCCAGGGAGACTCAGCCCGCTCCCTCCCGCAGCCCCATGACTGTCTCAACTTGCTGGGATCTACCCTCCAAACTGGTGGCTTCTCCGTGGCTCCTTTTTCATGCCCTGTCATCCTTGGTATAACAGAGGCCTAATTCTTTTTAAATCACCCCACAAGCAAAAGCTCCAAACGAAAGAAGAGAGGGTTTGATGAGGAAGAACCCAGTTCCCAAAATCCAGTTGCAAATCCTTCCAAAAGCTCAGCCAAGGGTTCAGAGTCCCCAGCCCTTCCCAGCCCCACCCTGAAGAATTCCATGGCCATGGACCTACTGGGGCCCCCCTGCTCTCCGAGAAGCCTGTGAATGTTACCCTGCATGTCTGGAAAGGAAGGACTCTAAGACGTGCTGCCAGTGTTGCCTGCTGGCTACTCACATGGGCTCTAGAGGGACCCAGAGCCACTTCTTGGTTAGACTCTGGGAGCCTCACTGAGCCTCATCTGTGAAATGGGAGCGGTTATAGGTATCCACCTCATGAGGCTGTTGACACAGTATGTGGAGCTATCAGGAGCCTGCTGTGCACTGGTGCTGCTAGATGTTACTTTTAAGATCGGAAGGCCGAGGCTCAAGTGGGGGAAGGGACTTGACCTAAAGTCGAAAGTGAGTGGGTGAAGAAGCTGGAGCCAGGTGGGAGGGCCACTTTCTGGGTCTGAGTGGGGTGCCTGGGACCAGCATGTGAGCTCAGACATCCTGGGCAGGCAGCTTGGATACAGCAGGGCTCAGTGGAGGGTCGGTTCCCTGTCTCCCGGACAGGTGGTGGCCGTGGACCCAGACCTGGGAGAGAACGGCACCCTGGTGTACAGCATCCAGCCGCCCAACAAATTTTACAGCCTTAACAGCAGCACAGGCAAGATCCGAACCACCCACGTCATGCTGGACCGCGAGAACCCCGACCCACAGGAGGCGGAGCTCATGCGCAAGATCATCGTCTCCGTCAGGGACTGTACGTGCCCCTCACACCCGGGCTGGGGCCCCTGACACCTCCCTGGTGGCTTGTCCTGGGGGGCCTGGGCCTCCCCAGGACGTTGTGTCTTGATGACTAAAAGTGGAGTAATGACATTTCCCAGTTGTAAACCCTCCCCCCACCCCCCACCCAGAGCACCCTTGAGGGCAGGGGTGCGCTGGGCTGTGCAAGGCCCAGGCTGCTCCCTGGAGGATCACCGGGGTAGAAGGTCACTGAATCTGCCCCTTCCCCCACTCATCTTCTTCCTGACCCATTTTCTCCTGCACCCCTCTTTTCCTCTCCTTTCCCCACCCCCTGGTCCATCCAGGTGGCAGGCCCCCCCTGAGAGCCACCAGCAGTGCCACAGTGTTTGTGAACCTCTTGGACCTCAATGACAATGACCCCACCTTTCAGAATCTACCTTTTGTGGCCGAGGTGCTTGAAGGCACCCCTGCAGGGGTCTCTGTCTACCAGGTGAGTGTTCCTTTCCTGCGATACTACTCTATGTCTCCCTCACCTCATCCTGACCAGCCAGCAGGTGCCATGGGTGCCTAGCCTCGTGCTGAGCACTTTGCAGGGGATTGACAAGAGAGACCACCAGACAGGACATGATCCAAGCCAGGCTTGGAGAACCAGTGCTCTGAGAGACGGTGATGGAAGGCTTCCTGGAGGAGGAATTCAAGCTGGGTCTTGAAGGACATATGGATTGGAGGGATGGAGAGAAAGCATCACAGGGGATGGATGAGGGCAGAAATGAGGGAGGGAGAGAGGGAAGGAGGCGGGGAAGGGGAGAAAGAGAGTTCTGGGAAGCCAAGTCAGAGAGTTTCTCAGGGCCTGGTTATAGAGGTCGGGCCCAAGACCCTGAACACTCCAAGCCAGTAAGTGATTCTAGAACACAGGTTGGACGAGTGTAGCCCAGGCGCCTGCCTCCGTGGGCAGCCCCTTCTGTGCTCTCCCATAAGCACAAAGGCAGCTCTGCTCGGTGGGTGGGACTCTCCCCACTTTGCGGGAGACATAAAGAGACTTGCCCAAGTTCCTGTGGCCAAGAAGAGGTAGCAACTGATCTTGAACTGGGCCCTCTGCGTCCTGCTCCATCACTCTTCCGGTCAGGGAAGCCCTGAAGGTGCCAGTTCAGGGAAAGTGATGCCCTATCAGGAGCCAATTAGAAACACTAGAAGGATCTCACTGTTTAGAGCGCAGGCTTTAGAGTCTCACCAACATGGCTGTGGATCCCAACTCCACCACCTTTGACTTGGAGCAACAATGTAACCTCTCTGGGCCTCAGTTTTCTCACCTGTGAAATGGGGCTACTAGTACTTGCCTCTCTGTGCGATGGAGATTGAATCAGACACAGGTATAAAACGACCTAGCCCCTGGACTGCAGGAGATACACTGTAGCAGAAGTACTCATTCTGAGTCTATCGTGAGGGTTATACTCAAGAAAGGAGAAATGGTGGGATCCGATAGCAGAGGGTTAGCCTAATCTCATTCAGAGAAGACAGTTTGTCAGCATGCCAGAGCTGTAACCTTGGTGATGCCCTGCAAGCCCACTGAGCCTCAGTTTCTTTAAAAGGAAATTAAAAGTATTCTTTGACAAGTTCCAGGGAGCAGTCTCTCCAGCAGAATATCCTCCCCACACCCCCAGCAGGGGGAGCTGAGATCCGGGGACCAGCAGCCAGTCCCTAAGGAATTTGCAGATAGGAGAGATAGGTTATGAGAGAGGGAATGAGCCCTCAGACCCTGTTCTCTGGGGGCTCACGGACAGCACGGAAAGGAAATGCCCGCCAGCACAACTTCTGAGTTCACAGAGGAACTGGCTCAGAATCATCAGAAGATGGTTGAAGGATCTGGGAGTGTTTATCTTAGAAACTATCTTCAGATACAGGAAGAGGGAACTGACTTGAGCCGTGCAGTTCCCCAAGTCCCCTCTATGACCTTGACCAATAATGATTTCTGCTGGATGTGCAGAAGAACTTTCTCCATGGACTAAAGCTGTGTGCAGAGAAATTTGAAGTAGTGAGCCCCCTATCCAGGAAAGCATTCAAGCTGAGTCTGGACACCCTCCATCCAGCTTGTTGGATATGAATTAGACCAGATGACATTGACATTGCCTTTCAGTTTTGAGAGACTTGGCTTATCTTAATGATTACTCATTTTTCCCAGATGTCTTGAATCTTCTTCTGCAAAACTCAACCTATCAGAGTCTTGAGTCAGGATATCTGTCATCAGGAGTGAAGGTGCAGACGGGAAGAGTGTCGGATTTGGGAGGCTTACCTACCTACACATGGCCTCCACCTACCTACACATGGCCTCCGTGGCTTTGTAAAAAATAACAACCAAATCCTCAAGTGACTTTAAAAAAACTGATCCTTGTTATCTTTTTTGTTGTCTTACAAATCAAAACAAAGCAGGGAGGGGAATCCTGCTGAGTGTTCTCTGTAGTTGAGCTCCACACAGCTGAAGGGGTCTGAGCTGTAAGGGCTGCTCTGGGCCAGCGTTAGAAGGGCGGCAAGGGTGGCGGGGGCCAGCTGGGGTAAATCTGGGAGGGCTTCCTAATAAGGAAAGCAGGGTTCCGAAGTGGGGAGTTGTGGGGACCTGGACTCTTGTCCTAAAACGTCCCTTCTCCACCCACCCTTGGCCCCACATGGTGTAACTGGACACCTTTCAGCTGACACGCTGCCTTCTTAAAGAACACGTGGCAGAGTGTACAGCTTCTTGGCCTGAGACAGAGTAGCTGGAATTTCTGACTAGAGCCGAGCAGGTCAGTGGGGAGGAGGGGAGTACTGAGAAGTGTCAGTCCTGGTGTCCCTACTCACACAGCCCCTTCTCTCGCTCAGGTGGTGGCTGTCGACCTGGACGAGGGCCTGAATGGGCTGGTGTCCTACCGCATGCAGGTGGGCATGCCCCGCATGGACTTCCTTATCAATAGTAGCAGCGGCGTGGTGGTCACCACCACGGAGCTGGACCGCGAACGCATCGCTGAGTACCAGCTGCGGGTGGTGGCCAGCGATGCAGGCACACCCACCAAGAGCTCCACCAGCACACTCACCATCCGAGGTGAGAGGGATGGGGGTACCTCTTGCTATATGCTGAACACATGGGCACGGGCACGGGGCTCCTGCTGCCCATCATCCATGTGGTCACAGGCTGCCTTGCTCATAGAGCATCCTCCTCAACTGGAGCCATTCAGCACAGCAGAGCCTTCCCTGTCTCCACCAAGTCAAAAATGCCAGCAACCCTTCTCCCACCTGGCTGCTGCCTTCAGTGCCCCAGAGCCGGGGCGGGCAGTGGCCTAGACCCCCTGCCAGTGTCTCCCTCTTTGATCCTGGCAACAGCAGAGAAAGCTCGAGAGCAGAGGGGTGGGGCCCTCGCAGTCACAGGCAGTCTGGGGAGGTCACAGAGCCCTTCCTCTTCTTTTAAGGGCAGACTTTTTATTTGGAGATGTAAAGGGAACCTTCCCCTCCCACACAGAATCTCAATGGAAGAACATCACCCTGGGAAGAGAGCAGCTGGGATTCCCAGACTCCCTGAGACTGCTCATCCCCTTGGGGCCCTCTCAATACTTTCCACCTGTCTCAACCCTCTGTGGAGCAAGGCTGTGGGGGCGGGTGACTGTTTCTCAATCACTTTGGCTATATCTTTAATTCTTGGAACAAAACTGGTACTCTGATATGAGCTATTGCCAAAGGGCCAGGAGTAAACACCAGGATATAAGTACAGAGTGTAATGGGCAAGACATGGCCTGTTCTCTAGGACAGGCCCTGGTCCAACCTGGCTCCTACCGGTCTCCATGAGTTGGGGATGGATGGTTAGCTCAGCAGAGGCACAAATAGTCACCCTCCTTAATCACGACCTGAGGTGGTGAAGACGAGAGGGAGCCAAGCATCCTCCCTCTGGTTGGTTAAGGCTTGCCTTGTGGGTTCCTGGTGCCAGTTTGAGGACCCACTTCTGTGCCAGCGATTGACGGGGAGGATGTCCAGTCCTCTCAGAGAGGAACCCCAGAGTATTTTTCTCCAAGGCTCAACAGAAGCCATACCACCAAATGAGCCCATCATTTCTCTTGGTGACATCACAAAGATAATCAAGGTGGAGACCTATGAAGGTCTCCCCAGGCCCCATGTGCCAAAGGAGTTAGAGGCCTGTATGTAGAGCTGGAAAAAAAGGAATCTTTAAGGGAAATTGGCTTTGGGGGAGTGGAAAGGTCCTCAAAGGCAATTACTTTCCCTGGGACCTTATCACAAACTGGGGGCAGGCCTCCCCAACACCGCAACCCTGCCACTCCCTTGCTGTGTGACTTGGAACAAGTCACTCAGCTGCTCTGAGCTTCTGTTTCCTTGTCTATGTGATATGCCCAATCATGGCTGCCTCATGAGGATGTTATGAGGGATATGCGTGGTCCTGTATGGGAAGCACTTAGCATGGGCTTGGCGTGTGAGCTGAGCTGAGGAATGGTCACTGTCATCATCGAAATTGTTGTCGTGATCAGGCTCACACTGGACAGAGGCTCTGGGGTTTTCTCCTCTCTTGGGCAGCATGAGCAGCCACCCAGCCACCAGCCACTCAGGGAACAGAGACTGTGGGTGGGTGTGGCGTTCTGGTCAGCTCTGTCATGGCCCTAGCTGACATGGGGGCCCTTGGCTCACGATTAGGAGGTGTTGACTCCTAGGAAACCCATTTCCTCTTGGCCTGTGACATGAGCCACTGCCTTTGGAGCTGGGTGGTCTTGAGTGGAAGACAGGCCTAGCCCTGTGTGCTGACTCTGCCCACAGTGCTGGATGTGAACGATGAGACGCCCACCTTCTTCCCTGCCGTGTACAATGTCTCCGTGTCCGAGGACGTGCCACGGGATTTCCGGGTGGTCTGGCTAAACTGTACCGACAACGACGTGGGCCTCAACGCTGAGCTCAGCTACTTCATCACAGGTGCAACCCTGCTTCCACCCCTTCCACATGTGTGGCCCACCCCGGGTCGGGTAGGGGAGAGGGGAAGAGGCCCGTATTGGCCATCAGGATTTAGCCCCTGCTGGAGGCTCCCTGAGGATTTGCTCTTGGCTTTTCCCCAGAGCTTTGCAGCTGGATCCCTCTGGTCTGCCTCCCCAGGGGCCTCCTCAACCAGGTCATGTGGTACTTACCAAGGTTCAGTCTGGAGGGAGATGGAGCCAGTGACTCCTGGGAGGAGCCCTACCCTCCCCCACTCCATCTCACATTAGGGTGACAGAGCTGCCATTGGAGGAATGTGGCCTTGTCCTTCCTTGAGGACCCTTCACTCATGAAGAGAATTCCCATCTGTTTAGAAGCAGGTGGTTTAGATCTCTCTAAATGAAATGGGTTTAGCTCAAAGATGTCAAGTAGCTAAAACCTGAAGAGCTGTGGAGAAATATTATAAGGCCATGTCCTGGCTCAACAGGGTAAAAGGAGCCGTGATCGATCAGTTGGCGTCTGCCATGGCGGTAGGCTTGGTAGGTGATGGCAGACACACCACGTGTTAGCTGTTCCCGGGTTAGAGCAGTTTCCCAGCATTCTCCTGTTCACTGCATATGTGAAAGATGCTGGGATGTGTGGGGCTGGGAGTGATAGTTCTTTCATATTCCTCAGCCCTCCCTTGGCCCTTTTACTGACTTTCCTCTGCCCATGGTCTGCCTGCAGCCACATTACACACACATCCATGTGGACGTGTATGTGTGTGCACACACCAGCCTGCCAGATGCCTCTCCCCCAGGAGCAAGGAATCTCAGGCTCACAGCCCATCCACAACTTGCTATAGCCAAAGTGACCTTCTAGCCCTCAGCCTCTCCTTTCTAGATCCTTTCCCTCCTTCCCTTCCCTAAAGGGCCCAGCTCCCTCAGGCCAGCTCCTCATGTCTGATCCTCAAGACTGCCCTGGGAAAGGTTCAGTTATCCAGACATCCACATTTTACCAGCCACGGTTCAGTCCCCAGCACTACCTGTGTCTTAGTTCCTCGCTCTAGGAGCCAGATTGTGGGCCTTATAGATGGTGCTTCAGATACTGGGGAGCAGATATTGGAGATATAGGGGCAGGGGGCTTTTTCCAGGGGCAAACCACGTCAGGAAAAGGGAGCGTGTGACAGTGGCCTCCAGGATAACTTCCAGCACACTGAAGTGGCCAGTTCCTGCCCACCTGGAGCCCTCCCAGCCCTAGGATTCTCTGGTTTTAATTTTGCACATTCTACGAGGAGCTGTGCGGTGTCCTGGACTGGGCTGATCTAAACCCAGTGTAGCGATGCCCTCTGCTGCCGAGAACACCACACTGCCCACCAGCTAGCCTGGGAGCAATGTCCACAATGCTCTGATGGAGTCCTTTCCTGGCTCCCGTCTACCTCGGGAAGGAGACTCTCGCACTGCCTACCTGTCCCAGAGCTCAAGAAGACTCAGTAACACTTGTCTCCTGTCCACCTGCCCCTATTTTTCACTCTTTGGAGCATCCAGGCGTTCCCATTCAGAGAGCCCGAGATGAGGGGCCCAGAGAATGTTTGGCTCACCCCAAAGTTTTGGGCCACATGTGAAAACCACAGCCCAGGTTAACTGCTCAGATACTTCTACAGGACAGACAGGTGGCAGAGTGCTGAAGGACACGGGCTGGGGAACAGACCAGTGCATTAGAGTCCTACACCCCAAATAGGTGACTGTAACCCAGGGCAATACACATAACCTCACTAAAAGACCATTTTCCTTCTCTGTGAAAAAAGCAATAGTATGCATGAAATGCATGGTCCACGTGAAGTGCCCAGTACACAGTAGGTGCTCAGTGAATGTTAGACACTTATGATTTCAGGCATTTAGCACCCCCGCCTAAGCCCGCACAGGACACACTCTCATCGGAGCTCCCCCAAAATCCTGTTCTCAGGCAGGGCTGAACGGACAGCACAGCCTTTCATTGCCAGGCCACCCCTGGCGTGTCCCAGCTCAGAAGCAGAGTTGGGTGCCACCTCCCTTTTCCCGGACGGGAGCTGTTTCCTGACTGAAACTTCATTCTCTTTTACCCACAGGTGGAAACGTGGATGGGAAGTTCAGTGTCGGCTACCGCGACGCCGTTGTGAGAACGGTGGTGAGCCTAGACCGGGAGACCACAGCTGCATACACGCTCGTCCTGGAGGCCATCGGTACGCACCCACCCTCCCTGCACACCACAACGTGGTGGTTCTGGGCAGAGTTCACATGAGGCCCCTCCTAGGGGCCAGCCGAGCCTGCAAGCCGAAGGCTCCGCCCTGATGCCAATGGGCAACTGGACATCCGACATATTACTGAGTACCTGCAGGGCATGAGGCTCAATGCCTAGTGCTATATGCACAACCCTGAGATAGTGTGGCGGGAGCTATGTGGGAGTCAAATGAGAGACCAGCATGTAGACAAATCACTGCAGAGCCAGGCAAAACTAAGCACGAAGGGAGAAGGGACGACCCAAGAGTAACAGCACAAAGGGAGATAGAAACATAGCGGTGGGTAATCAAGGAAGACGTCTTGGAGGGAAGTGGTATCAGGGAGTGCCTTTGGGTCAGTTAGGACTCTTACTTGCAAATTTTAAAATAAACTGGCTTCAGCAATATAGGTTCATAAACCCAGCCCACCTCCTGGAGCTTCACGTAAGATGATTTGCGGCTCAGGGGAGGCCACCAGGCCTCAGTCTCTCTGCTCCTCTGCTCCAGCTGGCTCTGCCTCCTGTGTGTTGGCTTCATCCTCTCCCTCACATGGAGACAAATCGCTGCTGCTGCTCAGGCCTTAATCCTCTTGGGTTCAAGTGCAGCAGCAGGGAGACAGCACTTGTCCCTTGCCCCAGCCGAAGCCGCAGATAAGCTTTGATTAGTTCCACCTCCCCCAGTGCCTGTCCCCAAACCCTTTGTCATGGTGCGGGGGGTGGGTGAGATGTGCTGGTGAGTTAGGCCTAAATCACATGCCTGTCCCTGGAGCTACGGCTGGCGGGAGTAGGGGTGGGGGTCAGACCAACTTGGGACCCCAGGCCTCATAGTCGGGAAGGGAGGGTTTCCAGAGAGTCCTTCAAGGACGTGGAATTGCCGAAGAGAGCAGGGTGGTACTGATGGGCAGAAATGAGGGAGGCCCACCACCTCCCTGAGGGCCAAGTGAGGTTTCAGTATGTAGAGAAGCAGGCAGGACATTTCGGGCAGAGGAATCAGCCCATGCGATGGTCTGGGGTGGGGAAAGAGCCGTGCACACACGCACATCCCCGGCAGCCTGTGATGGGGAGGGGAGACTGCGACAGGTAGGGCTGGCTTGTGGAAGCCTAAATGTCAGGCCGGAAGTTTGGTCTTTGGTTTCCAGGCAGCAGGAGCTCTTGAGGGCTCCGGAAGGGAAGAAGGTAGTGATGAGGCCTGTATCCCCAGATGGCTCTGGTCCTCCCAGAAGCACCCAGTTCGGTGTTTGCAGTGAGCTCTGGGTAGAAAAGGAATGTGCTCTCTGTGCCTCGCTCTTTCCAGCCAGCAGTCTCCCCCGGCCTGCCCACACCCACATGCATCTTCCCTCTGCCTTGCTCTCCTCCAATCCTGGGGCAGCCACACCACCCTCTGGCGACCCATCATTCCCCTGAGTCCAGCCTTCGCATTAGGCACTCGCTAGCAGGAGAGGGCTCAGTCAGACTCAGACCTTTTGGGGGTCCCCCAGTTCATACCATCCCCAGCCAGGGAAAATAAGCAGGACCCCCAGGGCTGTGAGATTGAGAGGTTCGTCCTGGAGAGGAGCTTAGGAGGGCAGGATGACTCAGGATAGGTGACTACACCCCAGCATGTGATCAGCTGGCCTGGGGAAGGACAGCCTCCACTGATCCTCAGCCAGCTCCAGCTTCCTGTACTCTTTTTCTGGGGTGACTGTCCTTGCTTGGACATACAGTGCTTGGCACAGCTCCTTCCTCCAGGGAGGATGACCCAATAGCTGCCTTTGGGGCTGAATCACCTCCCCAGCCCTGGGAGGGGCCTGCAGGGAGCTGACGGGTCAGCACCCCTGACTACATTAGGCTTAGAAATCAAGCAGGACCCACATCCCTGAATGCAGAGGGCCCACAGGCAAATCTGTCCCATAGGCATGTTTGACCCATCTCGTGTTTCATAATGAATAACAATTAGTTATAAACATTTAAAAGTCAGGAGATTTTATTTAAAAGCTTGTATGTTTAATTTCTCTTAAGAAATCAGTTCTAGTGTCACTGGGCTCACATTCTGCCTGTCCACTGTGGACTGGAAGAGAGGGCAGCTGCCCCTTGAGGTAGGCCCACCCAGATGGGCACCCATGGATCTCACCCTCCTGGCCCTGAGCAGTTGGATTTGTGCTCTCGGGACCTGTATCTGTCTCCTAAGGCTGCTGTAACAAATGACCACAAACTTGGTAGCTTAAAAGAACAGAACTTTATTCTCTCGTGTCTCTGGGGGCCAGAAGTTAAATTAAGGTGTCAGAAGGGCCACAGTCCCTCTGAAGGCTCTGGGGAGAATCCTTCCTTGACCCTTGCTGTTTCTGGTGGCTCTAAGTATTCTTGGCTTGTGGCTACAGGACTCCAGTCTCTGCCTCCGACTTCACATGGCTTCTCCTCTCTCTGTCAAATCTCCTTTTCTTTCCCTTATAAGGACCTTTGTCATTGGATTCACGGCTCACCTGGATAATCCAGGATATGTCATCTCAAGATTCTTAGTTATATCTTTGAAGATCCTTTTTCTCAATAAGTTTACTTTCACGAGTTCCTAGAGATCCAGCAGGGCTATACTTTTGTAGGCCACCATTCAAACCACTTCCTGCCTCAGTTCCCATCTCTATCAAATGGAGATAATAATATCACCTTCTCAGGTTTGTTGTGAGACTGAATGAGCTGGAAGTGCCTGGGACATATTAGATATTGTTAGTGTTTTTCTTAATCTAAAAAGGAAAAGAGCCACCTCTGCAGAGCCCAGAGTGGCACGTTCGCCCCTCAGGCATCTAACAGCCCATCCTCCATTAACTCCCACAGACAACGGCCCAGTAGGCAAGCGGCACACAGGCACAGCCACTGTGTTCGTCACTGTCTTGGACGTGAATGACAACCGGCCCATCTTTCTGCAAAGCAGCTACGAGGCCAGTGTCCCCGAGGACATTCCTGAGGGCCACAGCATTGTTCAGGTAGGTGGCCGTGGCCCTCCGGCGCAGCTGGTAGGCTGGGGGCAGGCAGGGCCACCCTCAGGTCCAAGCACGCATGCTTAGTGATATCATGGCAGAGAGGCATGGAAACAGGAGAGGGTCCAGCTACTGCTCCAGAAGTAGCCAGTGCTATGGGGAGAGGGAGACCCAGGCCTGTCCTCCCTCCTGAGGAGAGTAGGCCCCCAGGTTATGTAGCTGAGGCCAGGGCCCTGGCTCCCCAAAAAGCATAACGAAGGCCTTAGCCCTCCTCTTCTCCCCCGCTCTCCCACAGCCCTCCTCGTCCCCGACCCCACCCAGAAGAGCCTTTCAGAGCCGGGAAGAGAGGTTAACGTCACATTTTCCCAGAAAGGAATTGGGAGCCAGGGCCCAGCAAGGCCCAGAACAGAGCGGCTTTCATGGGGCCCTTGGCCCAAGTTCCCCTCTTGAGAAATAAACAGGCACAAGAAGAAAGGGAGCAGACTCAGAGGGAGAATGGGCAGGACCTGAAAATGAGGCTCTGGTGCCCTCCCCGAGCAACCAGAGGCCTCAGTTGCTGGGTGGAGAGGGATGCTGGGAATAAATCACCCTCTTAAACAGCTGCGAAGGTTTCTGACTTAGAGGCTGAGCCAAACACAGCAAGTCTAGGCCTGTCCGCTAGGATAGGCTCCGGACTTGGGAGACTGGGAGTGCACCCATCACCCTGCATTAGAACCAGGAGAAAGGCAGGAAAGGGGCTGGGAGCAGGGTGCTGAATCCCAGAGGCACCAAGAGTCCAGGAAGCCATGGGGGTTTGCAAGGGTCTGGGGCTGGTTCCTAAAGGGGGAAGCTGGAGGTTCTCTCCCTTTGGGCCTCTACTCCTGTGGGCTTGGAGGGCCTCTCTCCTCTAGCCTAGTAACTACCACCCCAGTTCACTGACAGGTCTCCCAGGACAAGCCTGGGAACATACCTGGGGGTATGGCAAGACCTTCGAGAGCCCCTCTCCCCGTCCCCAGCCTTTCCTTCTCCTTCAGGCCTCAGGGCAGCCTCACCCGCCCACCCCTTGTGTCCAGGAAGAGAACACCTAGTGCCAAGCAGAGCACCTGGCCAGGGGATGACGTGGGGGACTGAGTATAGGTAAATTCATCCTGGGATGTCTCAGGGAGGCCCTGGGGAAGGGAACCAGGAAGAGGTTAACAAGCTGGAAGGGAGGAGGCCTGCCCCACTTTCTAAACCTGAAGAATTGGTTTCTGTTACACAACACGACTCACACTGAAATCCTAGAGCTTATGAGTAATAAAAGGCAGCCCTGGAATTCTCCCCATTTCTCAGGGGGAAATTCAGGCACTAGTGACTTCTCCAAGGCCCTGGAAACAAGTTTCTGGCCAAGCAGGACTCAACTCTCTGATATCAGATTAACCTGGAAGGAAGGCACAGTGGGTCTGCTTGAAGAGAAAGCTTCTCTCGAGGGGCATTTGAGGGAAGAAGAGGGTTCCCACAGGACTCAAGGCTTTGGGGAGTAAGGACACACCCAGACCACACCTCCCTTCACTTAGTACACGGAACCTTGTACTTCCGTGCCCTGGCTAGTAAGGCAGAGTGAGGGGTCGGACACAGTCTTGCCCTCTGTGAGCTCCTAGGCTGATAGGAGGGAGAAGACATAGCAAGGATGACCCACACCGCCAAGAGCAGGTGATCCCTGTCCTCCCTTCACTTAGTACACGGAACCTTGTACTTCCATGCCCTGGCTAGTAAGGCAGAGCGAGGGGTCGGACACAGTCTCGCCCTCTGTGAGCTCCTAGGCTCATAGGAGGGAGAAGACATAGACAAGGATGACCCACACCATCAAGAGAAGGCGATCCCTGGCCTCCCTCTCAGAGGTATAACGAGTAGGTCCAGTCCCAGGCAGGAGGTGGCTTTCAGCTGGAGAGCAAAAAGGGTTTCCCAGAGGGGGTGCCTTGTGAAACATGAGGCACAGCCAGGGGAGGACAGATTGTTCAGTTTGTGTGGTGTCTTGGGTCAAGATGAGGCTAGAAAGATACTTTGGAGCCAGCTCTCAGAGGTCACTGAACTAATTGGTCCAGACTAAGGAGTGGCTTTATCCAACCTGCAATAGGGAGCCAGTGATGGTTTTGAAGCTGGGGAGTGGTGAAACTAAAACTCACTCTTTGAAAAGACCTGGCTGGCTATACTGTGGATCATAGCAGGGTGGGGTGGGCAGCCCCGTGGCCGAGTATAAGGTAGTCCTGGCCAGCTGACTCTCTGGGGTAAGTGCTAGGCATCTCAGACCCCCTCTGCCTCAATGTAGGACCCAACCAAAGTATAGAGCCCTGCCCTTGTGAGGAGAGGTTGAAGGCTAGAGATCCTGAGAAGCCCAATTTCGGGATGAGATTGCTTCGACAGGCAGCCAGTCAATGAAGCAGTCACCAAAAAGACAGACAGTACACCCACTGTGGTCCAGGCCTGAGATACCGTAGCTGTCCTGGAGAGGTCTGGACCATCCCACCCAAAGAGAGGCTCCCCCTTTCCTGGGTGAGGCATGGAGCCACTACGATGTGTCCTCAGAGCCGAGGTGGCATCACCTTCAGCTACTGACAGTGCATCCTGCCACTGACACAGCACCAGTCCTGGCCTCTGCAAGGAGCTTCTCAACCCATTATCAGTCCCTTCCCGATCCATCCTGGTGTGGGTGCATTGAACGGGGCCCACCAAGATCGAAATTGACTAGACAGTCTTGAGAGCCTCACTTACCCCTCCTCCCAGCAAGCACCCAGACTCCTGGTCCACCGCAAGGGTGCTGGCTGCTCCCCTAGATTACTAGGTGAATGCTGGCAGGGCCCAGGAAATCTGAGGAGAAGAGTCCCTGGGCTCCCTTTTGCTTTGGATGCTGAGTTGGCCCAGAGGGCAGGACAGTAACTTGCCCTTAGTGTAAGTTGAGTATTTCACTTGGCCGGAGGGAACCTTTGGCCATTTGGCAACTCCCACTCGAATTCAAGCTGGTTTTGGCACTGGGGGGTGGGCAGGGCTTCTGTTGGGAAGCAGGGGCACTGTTTCCTGGAGATGGTCAGTGCCTGGTTGCCAGAGAGGGGCCCTGGGGACCCCAGGTTGTACTGTCCAGAACCTCTGATCAAAAGTCCAGATGGCTGCAGGTTCAGCACAGTTGGTCCAGCAGTCTTTCAGCAGGTAGCAGCTAAAAGGTCTGCAGAGAGGAAGGTATTCTTCCAGGGGCTGTCTCTGGGAAAGGCCACGGGCCTGGGCACACAGGGAACCACTGGTGGGCAGCATATTGCCCAGGGTGTTTGGGTCGCTGTCCTCTTGCAGCCTGTGGTGCCAGGGTATGTCTGAGGGAGGAGGATCCATGGGGAGGAAACCCCATCACATTTTGGTAGATTCTATGTGTTCCCAGCTGTGGTCATCATCACGGTCTGGCAGGGGGCGTTGAGATGCAGCAGGCTGGTCACGGCGAAAGCTGTGCAGGGAGCAGCGCAGGGAGCCCAGGCGCTTCCAGAGCCGGAGCTGGGGCTCGCTGGGGCTCCCAGGATGGTGAGGCATGCGCTCGTGAGCCTGGCGGCTCGGGTCTAGTGCGGCTGGTTTGCAGAGGGTCATGAACAGCAGACAGGTGGCCAGCAGGAGGAAGATGCTGGCCAGGGCAATGAGCACGGGGAGAGGGTCAGCTGCCTCTGATGGGCTCCCTGGAGTGACAGGAACTGTGAGGAAGATGCGGGGGCTGGAGGCCTCTGTACTCATGGCTCCTGCAACAGGAATGGGACAGAAGCTCAAAGGCAAATCAGCTGAACCTAGAGCTGGGGAGGGAGGGGGACACTAATGGGAACTGGGCGCTGCTAAACTAGCTGCGGATAACATCATGACCATTTTACACAGAGGCAACAAGTCTAAGGTCACACAGTAAATAAGCGATGGAGCTGGGGCCCGAACTCAGGTCCTCTTTCTGCTATACCTCCCTGCCTGCCTGCTGAGGAGGAGATAGAGTAATGTCTTACCGGCATTTTAAAATGAATTATTATGAATTCCAAAAGTCTTACACCTGAAAACTTGGGATCCAAGACCAACTCCATCAATAAGTTTCTCTGTGATGCTGGAATGAGTCATAGATAATAGGATTCTGCAACTGGCAAGGACCCTAGCAATTATCCGATGCCAAGGTACGACCTGGGAGCCCACTAGTGTGTTTTGTTTGGTTCTTACAGTATTTTTTTACAAATTTAAATTGCAAATATTTTTAAAACCACAAACAAACAAAACTAGAGTTTTCACATAAGTGTCTGAATGTCTGGCACCCCTTGAAATTTCAGAATTTCAACGCTAGCAACGTTATGCCTGGCACCCAGGGGCTGGGGCTGAGCAGCAGCTGCCTCCTTTAGAGAGGGCACTGGTCCCCAGCTGACCACACTCCCCACAGTCCCACTGCACCTATATCA